GCACAAACTGAAGGCTTTGCTAGGTCAGCTGGGAACACCTAGTGAGGGCATGTAGGATGTGCCTGACTGAGTTGTCAAGGGATGCTTCAGAGGAAGAGAAACACTGGGTCTTACAGGGTGGATGGAAATGTGAGTCAGGAGAGGGCGTTGCAGGCAGAGGAAATGCCCAGTACTGAGGCCTGAGAGGGTTCTTCAGGCTGCAGGGCATCCGCTCACACAAATCACCTGGAGTTGGCAAATCCAGAAAGACAGGAAGCAGAAGGGTGGTTGTCAGGGTCTGAGGAGGGGGATGGGGAGTTAGTGTTTAATGGGTAAAGTTGCAGTTTTGCAAGATGAACAGTTCTGTGGATTGATGGTGGTGATGGTTGCTGCTGCTGCAAAGTCACTTCAGTTGTATCCGACTCTGTGTGACCCCATAGACGGCAGCCCACCAGGCTCCCCTGTCCCTGGGATTCTCCAGGCAAGAACACTGGAGTGGGTTGCCATTTCCTTCTCCAATGCATGAAAGTGAAAAGTGAAAGTGAAGTTGCTCAGTTGTGTCCGACTCCTAGCAACCCCATGGACTGCAGCCCACCAGGTTCCTCCATCCTTGGGATGTTCCAGGCAAGAGTACTGGAGTGGGGTGCCATTGCCTTTTCCAGGTGATGGTTGCACTCCATTATAAACGTACTTAATGCCACAGGATGAAGAGTGCACCATTTAAAAATGGTTAAGATGTGAAAAGTGAAAGTCACTCAGTCACGTATGACTCTTTGCAACTCCCAGTCTCCTGCATTGCAGGCAGATTCCTAACTGTCTGAGTCACCAGTCTGGTGTATATATATACACCATATGTATATATATATATATATATATATATATATATATGTAGGATATAGGATTGGGCTTCCCAGATGGCACAGTGGTAAAGAATCCACCTGCCAATGCTGGAGACATGGATTCAATTCCTGGTTCGGGAAGATCCCATGGAGTAGGAAATGGCAACCCACTCCACCATGCTTGCCTGAAAAAGTCCATGGACAGAGGAGCCTGTCAGGCTTCAGTCCATGGGGTCACAAAGAGTTGGACGTGACGGAGTGGCTAAGCATTCACACACACATATTGGGTCAGCCAAAAAATTCATTTGGTTATGGAAAGGTGTTATGGAAATGCCCGAACTTTTTGGCTGACCCAATATATTATTCCCAAGCACGGAAGTTGCCTGGTCCAGGGTGTGGCACTGAGCAGGCCCTTGGGAGAGCTGGGTGTGGGTGGGTGGGTTTCTGTGGGGTAGGAGTGGCCTGAGATAGACCCAGGGACAGGTAGGCAGGTGTCTGTGAGCCAGGCCTTCTGTGCCAGGCCAGGGGAGGGCTTAGCAGGGTGTGCCCTGGTCTTGCATCTTGGGAAGATCCTCTCGAAGCTGTGTGAAGGGATTAGAGCTGGAATCAGGGCACCAGTTAGGAGACTGTCCGGAAAATGATTCTGAAGTCCTGACGGGTAAGTCAGACAAAGGCAAGGAAGACACCAGGGTTCAACAGGGCAGCATTTTGGTGTCTATATGGATGTGTGATCCTGAGAACCTCGAGAAATATGTTAAGAATGACACTTAAAGTTCTAGAGATAGGAGAAGATGTTTACACTAGTTAGAGAGCCAGGGAAATGCAGAGCCCAATCCAGTGATGAAGCCCACGGGCTGGAATCTGACTTGAAATTGTAAGCAGTGGTGACATATTTCTAAGGAAGGCAGACCCCTTCTTAACTTACAGTGACCCTGCAGGGGCAGATATGGAGGGTTGAGGCGTCCTTTCAGCGTTGTTATTGTTGTTCAGTTGCTAAGTCATGTTTGACTCTTTGTAATCCCCATGTGAGGCAGCACTCCGGGCTTCCCTATCCTTCAGTATCTCCTGTAGTTTGCTCTAACTCATGTCCATTGAGACAGTAATGGCATCCAACCATCTCATTCTCTGTTGTCCCCTGCTCCTCCCACCCTCAATCTTTCCCAGCATCAGGGTCTTTTCCAATGAGTCAGCTCTTTGCATCAGGTGGCCAAAGTATTGGAGCTTCAGCTTCAGCATCAGTCCTTCCAATGAATATTCAGGGTTGATTTCCTTTGGGATTGACTGGCTGGATCTCCTTGCTGTCCAAGGGACTTCCAAGAGTCTTCTCCAGCACCACAATTTGAAAGCATCAGTTCTTTGGTGCTCAACCTTCTTTATGGTCCAACTCCCACATCTTAAAAAAATATCAAGGCCCTGCCTGGGTGTCACTCCTGGAGATTCTGACTTTCTTGGTGTTGAGTGGGGCCAGGTGACATAACATGCAGACATCAGCAATGAGAGCCGCGTAACACCTGGCTGGATCAAGAAAGGCCTTACTGATCCTGTTCAGGTGACTCGCCTGGGAGTAAGGGCAGCCTGCTGGAGGGTGTTGAAGGTTTGCATGATGTGGTGTCTCTCTGAACAAGAATCACTCTGAAGAATGGAACATTCCATAAGAGTAGAAGCAGGGAGGCAAGTTAGAAAGGTGTTAGAATAATCCATGTGAGAGACCTGGTATAGAGGTAGAAGTAAAAAGTAGTTTGATTCCAGGTGTTCTGAAGGAGGGAGCAAGAGGCCAAGTGGATGGATTCCTCTGGGGTGGAGAAGGCTCAACAATGGCTTCTGAGTTTAGGTGACTGGATCCCCCCTTTTCTCTAGTCTAAAGGCCTCTGTCCTCCTGCAGTTCCACACCCACAGAAAGGATGATAAGAACCCAGAAGGGTTCCTTTCTGTCAACTCCACATTGGCCATAAGAGGCTACCTTATAAGCTTCTTTCCTTATAAATGTCATGATTTTCCCATAATTGAACTGTGTTCTCAAGGCTATAGCTAAGTTTCTCTGAGCGCCCCCACCACATCCACTCCCAATAGAATAAAAACAGCTGTGAGAACGTAGAAAATCATGCTATGGGTTAAACCTTGGCTAAAACTCTGTGAAGGCAGTGGCACCCCACTCCAGTACTCTTGCCTGGAGAATCCCATGGACAGAGGAGCCTGGCGGGCTGCCGTCGGGGGTCACGCAGAGTCAGAAACGACTGAAGCGACTTAGCAGCAGAAGCAGCAGCAAAACCCTGTGAAGCCGAGATGGAGTCTTTTTTTGGTTTGTTGTTTTGCTTTTCTTGCAAAGTCTTAAAGCTTTTTTTTTTTTAACTTTTATTTTGTATTGGGGTATAGCTGATTAACAAACAGTGTTGCGATAGTTTCAGGTGAAGAGTGAAAGGACTTAGCCATACATACACATGTATCGCTGCTGCTGCTAAGTCGCTCAGTCGTGTCCGACTCTTAGCGACCCCATGGACTGCAGCCTACCAGGCACCTCCGTCCATGGGATTTTCCAGGCCAGAGTACTGCGGTGGGTTGCCATTGCCTTCTGCGACACGTGTATCTATTCTCTCCCAAATGCCCCTCCCATCCAGGCTGTCACATAACATTGAGCAGTGTTTCATGTGCTATATAGTAGGTCCCTATTGGTTATCTGTTTTAAATATAGCAGTATATACATGTCCATCCCAAACTTCCTAACTATCCCTTCCCCCTATCCTTTCCCCGGGGGAAAGGTAACTCCCTTCTCTAGCCTGTGAGTTTCTTTCTCTTTTGTAAATTTAAGTTCATTTGTATAATTTATTTTTAGGTTCCACATATAAGGGATGTCCTAGGATATCAGAAACAGCAGTCTTAAAGACAAGGAAACTGAAATTCAGGGAGTGAAGCTACTAGCCTGATAATAGCTACCCCTTAAGAGAGCTTCCTGCCTGCTAGGGAGCTTTGGATGGTCGTGTCGGGGGGGAGGGTGTGTGTGTGTGTGATCACCACAAAAGAATTCTCCACACCAGCTGAGTGCCTACAATTCAACTCAATTCTGAACTATCTACCCAGAGACAGCATCAGATTCCACTGGTTAAGGGCTCTGCCCCACACATCTGCCCTCACCTTAGAGGTCACAGCTCCAAGTTGTTCTTGGTCCTTTGATTTACGGGCTGTACATCAGAGGTTCCCATGACCCCTCCTCAGGTTTGATTAATTTGCTGGAGTGGCTTATAGAACTCAGAAAAAGGTTACTGATTAGATTACTGGTTGCTGTAATCTAATTACAGTAACCTGGTTACTGTAACTCAGGGACAGCCCCATGGGAGAGATGCATAGGGCAAGGTATGGGCAAGGGGCACAGAGCTTCCAGCTCTGAGGGTACCCCCTCTCCCAGAACCTCCGGGCGTTCTTCACCTGGAAGTTCTCTGCATCCCATCCTTCTGAATGTTCTTGGAGGCTTCACTACATAGGCATCAATGACCAAGTCACTGGTAACTAAACTCAGTTTCCAGCCCCTCTTTCTTCCCCAGAGCTCCTGTGGTGGGACTGAAATTTCCATTCCTCTAATCACCTGGTTGGTTTCCCCTAGAAACCAGCCTCATCCTTAGGTGCTGTCTAAATGTTATTAACATAAAAGACACATGTTTAAGTCTCTTCCCTTAAACTCCAGGGTTTTAGAAGCTCTCTGCCAGGAGCAGGGAAGACCAAACATACAATTTTAAATTATAATATCACAGGTGGCAAAATGGCCGAGCTTGGTGTAGCCCTTATAACTTCTCAGGTTGTCTTCATGCTGAGCATCCCTGTCCCCCTGTCCCTACCCATCTAGTCTGAGCAGGTACCAGAGCTGTCTTTGCAATGTCTTCTCTGAAGATGCTTTTCCCCTGTGAGTGCCTTCATCCTTAATCCCCCCATGTCCCTCCCCTTTGAGGGAATCAGTCCTAATTGCCAGCTGAAGGAAGCATCATCTCCCACAAGTTGCATGTGATGTCATTTTGCTCATATTTTTTAAACAATCTCTCCTTATATTGTCCCCTTAACAGCTTAAAGGTGCTAGTCTCCTAGGCCAGGCACAGGAGAAGTATGAAAAAGAAAAATATGAGCTTTGCTCCTCAGAACACTCATTTGGACAGGGTTTCTTCCCAGTGCCTCTACCTGGTTGTTTTTCTCTTGCAGGACTTGGACCTTCTTGGACAGAAATGCCACTTTGTCCTGAAAAGCTCGATGGGTGAATTCTCCATCCTGATGATGCAGAGTCAGTGTCCTCAGAACATCTGATGCAGCTGGACCATCTGGGCTGGCCCCCAAAGTCCATGTCAGTGGCTTTATGGTCACAGGAAATGATGACTGTGGGGTGAATTCCTACAAGATAGCATTTCGGGGGGTCTCCCCTATGGTAGAAAGCAAGCTGGCTCCTGCCCGTTGGATGAAAAGGGTGCATGTTGACATCACTCAAGCTCTGGCTGTCCTGTGATCCCACTGTCTCAGCACTGTGCTCTAGGAGGGAGATGAGGCCTTCCAGGGGAAGTGTTATGTCTTCCGAGATCCCAGAGCAGATTCAGGGCAAAGGATTGTGAAGCCTCACGATCACAGTCTCCCGTCCCTTTTCAGAGACCTTCCTCCAAACCCACTGCTGGCACCACTGGGCCATAAACTCAAGCAGAGAGGAAACTTGGCATTTCCGGAACAATCTTCTTCATGTTCCTCAGCAAACCTGCAGAAGATGACAGCCTGGTCACCACATCACTAGAAGCAAGTGTGAAGGATTTTAGAAAAACAGCCTCTGCTCCAGCCCCAGTGGAAACAGCCGTCTCTGATCCGAGGTGGCCAGAGAACCCAGAAAATATAGCCTTGCCAGGCCCTCAGCCAGTGAAGCCCTTCTAGCACTGTGGTTCCTATAAGAAGCTCCCTGGCAGCCACTCACAGGGCAGTTTGGTCCTCCTCTGTAGGATGGAGAAGCCTAGAAGGCACTTCAGAGGATGGGATCAGCCAACCACTTTCTCCCAGCCCTTCCCAAGAGGTGAAGAGCAATCCTGGAGGATGCCAGCAAATGAACAAATGCCTGTCCTGACAAGAGTCTTTTCTGGTGAAACACTGCGCTTCCTATGGAATAAAGGGCAGGCGTGGCTGCTGAGACCCAGCAGTCCTTGGAGAGCAGGTCATCTCTCTCCCTTCGTCACACAGCTCTCTCACCTTGCCAAGTCCTCTTTTCCTGTGTCCCAAGCTGAGAGCTGTCTGGCTGATTCTGCAGAATCCTTGCTGGTCCTGCAGACACCCCAGCTTCTGCATCAAGGCCTTGGCTAAGTGCTGGGCTCATCTCCAGTGAGGCAGGTATCACCTTTGCAGGTCACTGCATCTCTGGGTGGTGGAGTGTTGTTACCACCTACTCTCTCTGTGGTCTTCAAGTGACTCCCTCTGAGGCAGAGCCATAGCTTGTCCCTTGGATGGCCTTGGCCTCACCCTTTCCAGAGCCAGGACAGACAGCTTGCCCTTGAATGTGACTGCTGAGGGTGTCTCCTCATGGAATCATGGGCATCTTACGGAAAGAGACCCAATATACAGTTCCTGGAGTCCAGAGGGGCTGGCCACAGAGCCAGTGGAGGGCTGGGCCAGAGTGACGCTGACCACGGCCCCCACCAGGCTCTTCTAGCCACCGCTGCCCCTCACTGGGATTCTCACCCTCGCCTACCACAGAGGTTCTGGGACACCCGGGAGGCGACCTGTGCCAGCTTCACGGCCCGTGTCAAGTTTACAGTTGCCTTCAGATGCCTCGAGACTGGGAAGGTCTCAGACAGAGACTGAATCCAGCCGTCCCCTAGGTCTGGTCCCATCAGGGAAAGAGCACAGTGGCTGCTGGCCTCTCTGCTGCGTTCCCTGGGAGCTGCCATTCAAGCTTCCTGTGACTAACACGTTCCTTCTGTAGAGCTCACTGGTTTTCCTGGCTCCCTCTCCAAGTCTGGCCAGAGCAGAGCTGGCGTCTAGAAGTTTATTTTTTTTTTTAAATGTTGAGTGTTCTTTGCAGTATTTTTCAAATAAATTAATTTATTTTGGCTGTGTTGGGTCTTCGTTGCTACGCAGAAACTTTTCCCTAGTTGTGGTGCGTGGGGGCTCCCCGTCATCGCGGTGCGCGGGCTTCTCATGTGGTGGCTTCTTTCTTTGTGGAACACGGGCTCTAGGCACACAGGCTTTAGTAGTTACTGTGTGTAGGCTCAATAGCTGACATTCCTGGGCTCTAGGACACAGGCTCAATCGTTGTGGGACAGGGCCTTAGTTGCTCCACAGCATGTGGAAGCTTCCCAGGCCAGGGATTGAACCGGTGTCCCCTACATTGGCAGAAGGCTTCTTCTTAACCACTAGACCACCAAGGAAGCCCCCATCTAGAAGTTTAGTAAGTGCTTCCCGGCCTGAGCCTGAGGAAGCAGTTTCTAGTGGGGCGATGGCTGGTCCTCACTACTTGAGGAGGAATGGGAACTTGCTCCCCACCACAGCCTAGAAGAGAGAGCACAGACGTAGCAGGCCTCCTTAAAGGGAGAAGACTGGGTGCTGCTCTGTGCCTTTTGCTGCTGAGACAGTTTTCTGGTTCTGTTGCATTGCAAACTGCCCCAAAACTTAGTGACCTAAAGAAACAGCCATTTTTTTTTTCTTCAATTTTTTGTGGGACAGAAATTTAGGCAGGTCTCAGCTGAGTGATTCTTGCTGTGGGATTCCATGTGGGATTTACTGAAGTTTCTTGATGGTATTTAATTGAAACTTGGGCTGGTCTGAAGGGTGCAAGATGTCTTTCCTTATAGGCATTCATAATCTGAATGTTAGGGGGACAGCTGGAGGGCTAGATGCAATGTGTCCTTGTTTATATAGTCCTGAGAATGCTTTAGTCAGATTTCTACAAGGTTGCTGGATTTCCCCTGAGACCAAGAGACCAAGCTAGAAGCTGAATAGTCTTGATGTAGCTTCAGGTGTCATGCTGTGTGACTTCCGCTGTGGCCCATTGATGAGGTTGGTCGCTGAAGCCAGGCAGATGCAAGGGGAGAATAAGAAGACTCTACCTTTCAGTGAGTGGAGTAGCAGAATTTTTATGGTCACCTTTGTTTTTTATTTTATTTAATTATTTGGCTGTGCTGGGTCTTGCAGCATGTGGGATCCAGTTCCCTGACCAGGGATTGAACCCGGGCCCCATGCATTGGGAGTGTGGAGTCTTAGCCACTGGACCACCAGGGAAGTCCCTGTGGCTACCTTTAATTACTAATTTATACATCTTGAATCTGTGGATGCATGTTTTTTGTACATTCAAGAAAACTTGCAGTGATTTCTTCCTCAACTGCACATGGGATCCTCCCAGACTAGGGATTGAACTAGCGTCTTCCACACTGCAAGGCAGACTCCCAACCACTGGACCACCAGGGAAGCCCTGTCCCACTCCTTTTTATTCTCTAGGTCTCAGCTCAGATGCCACCAACAGTTACCGTCACATCATCCTGTTCAATTCTATCAGAGCACTTACCACTATCAGCAGTTTTCTTGTCTTTCTCACTGAAATCCAAGTGTCACAAAGGCACGTCCCCTGACTTGTTCATTTGTGTGTTCCCAGGTCCCAGCAAGTTCTAGGCACATAGCTCATATCTGGTGCATGAATGCTACCTCTCCTTGGAGTATCTTTTGTAGGAACTTCAGGAAATACAATGATAAAGACTGAAGAATAACTTCTACTTTTAGACTTTATGGAATCCTAATGAGGGAGGGCTTTGAGTAACGGGAAGGGTCTTAAAAGAATGTTCTAGAAGTATTTTCTCAGTTCTAGGGGCCCTTGTTTATTTCCATTAGTAGGGATCCACTGAGTTGAATGAGTACCAGTTATTCTTTCTCAAATACCTTACAGAAAAATAGATGTATTTATTCCAGCTTTTGAATCCCCTCTATCCAACTCATTAGGTTTTAGAATCCCATCAGATTTAAGTTAAACTTCTTTCTCCAAAGCCCATGGTCTGAAGTTGGTGGGTTATTAGGGCTGATGGAGCCCAGGAACCTGATTCTACTCTGAGTAAGTGCTGGATCCCCTGGGACCCTGGAATGTGGGGATGTAGGCGGGAGTCCCTCCACTGGAGTGACTGTGTCATAAATGGGCACGACGCCTGGCAGATGCCCGACAGCCCTGTGACTTGGACGTTCTGGGTCTGCCAAGTGTTCCGTAGGGTGTTACTGCCCCATGACTCACGGAGCAAAAAGCAACTTGTTAACATTTAAAGTAAGACAGCACTATTCATTTCCCGTCAGGACCTGTATGTGAACAGTGACTGCACATCTGTAGCTAGAGGTGCTTGTTCTGGGAGGGTGTTTATGGAATTTCATTCCCGAATTGGCTCTGCCTGGAATGAACCAGTTTCACCAAGCAGAGAGTCGTTCCTAGGGAGACCTTGAACTTAACCACGGGGCTGCACAAAACCGCAGTTTGTTCTTGATGGTATCTTCCTCCCTCCCTTACCCTGCCCTTCTCTGCCTGCTCTGGGCTCATGGGCAGCTGGCCCTGGTCCCCCTGAAGCTGGAGGGCAGTAGCTCATGGAGGGTGGTCATAGCCCGGGTTCTTGCTGCAGCTGCTGGAAAAGCTGTTGACCAAGATCTCAGGTTTCTCCTGGTTTATCAGTAACTTCTGGGCTTTTGTAATTCTAAGTATTTTCATTTCAAGGAAAGCTGTTAAGTCCAATCAGGAAAAAGAAAAGGGGGGAAGAAGGAAAAAGAGTTGGATGGTTGTCAGCTCTTAGGTGCTGCCAGGTGGTATGAGAAGGATCTAGGAAATATTGAGGGGAAACCCCATTCTTTTCAGGAATTTAATCACGGAGCTGTGTCAGAGTTGTTGTTTAGTCGCTAAGTCGTGTCTGACTCTTTTGCGACCCCATGGACTGTGGCCCTCCAGGCTCCTCTGTCCAGGGGACTTCCCAGGCAAGAATACTGGAGTGGGTTGCCATTTCCATCTTCAGGGGATCTTCCTGACCCAGGGATCGAACCCATGTCTCCTTCATTGGCAGGCGGATTCTTTACCCCTGAGCCTCCAGGGAAGCCTATCAGAGACATGAAGTTATATCGTGGTAGCAAAACCCACCACCATCCCAGTGACTTAAAAATAAAGATTTTTTCTCTCTCAGGCTATACTCCATCCCATTTGGCAGGTGGGCTCTGCTCTCAGAAGGCCCTGGGTACCCAGCTAGTGGTCCCTGGATGCCTTGCCAGAGGGGAAGAGCTCTGGAGGGTCTGTCTTTGCACTGGCAGTTAAACGCTGTGACCCAGCAGTGAACTCTTTGGCTGGGAGTAGTCACATGAGCACGCCCCAACACAGAAGGGTCAGGAAGGACAATCTGACAGTCTGTGAGGAAGAGCTGGAAACAGGGAGCAGTCCCAACGTTAGTAATTGGAGCTGACTGAGTTGGCATTTCACGCTTCAAAATGGTTCACAACACAAAGGTCTGAGGCTTTGACTCGAGATTTGTTTTAGTCACTTAGTGGGCTTGAGGGCTTGGTCTCATGACCTTGTTCTCCTGCTCTGGCCTAGAGAGCTATCACAGTGTTTATTTTCTCAAAGGCCTCTTTGTAGTCAGTCAGTATGAACAGGCAGCTTTGGAGGTTGAAGAGCAGATCAGAGATCTGGTATTATAGGTGTGGCTATTTTAATGCTGTTTGGAAAACACAAACCCGGGTCACATTCACAGATGTGGAAGATGCAGATGAAAGGAGTGGATAGTATTCCTTTATTCTACTGTAGTTATACTCGGCCTGACACAGTTTTTCTGTTGTTCTGTATCAAACTTTGAAGGCAGCTTTGATTAACTTTGTCAAGCTGGAACCCAGGAAGGGTTATCAGGGGGATTCAGGAGTCTTGAAGTTTATTGAAAGGGGTGCCTTGGCAGCAGCTGTATTTGAAGATCTGTTAGAAGTTTTCCTTTTACTGGGTGAGGAACCTACCTCCCTGTATTGAGATGGATTGGACTGAATGATAAACAGCCTACTTATTACTACGTGACCAAAGAAAGCTGGAGGAGGGAGTTTGACCCTCCAAACAAAGGGTGGTTGTTAAGAGGCAGCTTCTTGGGATCTTTCCAACTCTCTCATGATAATTCTCTGATTCAGTTTTTTTCTCAGAAATGAAAATAATTCTTTCCTCATGGGAAAGGGAGTGAATGCCAGTTGAGACTCTACTATATAAAATACTGCTGCTCACAAATGCTCTGCTGCTAATTCCTAGAGGATCTTGAAGTTGGTGGTAGAAACTCCATTTTACAGGTGAGGTAACTGAGGCTGAGGATGCAGGAAGTCAGGCACACATACAATCTTACAAGGTGTTTTGCTTTAAGTGTAGAGTCTGGAGCCGGACAGCTAGTGTCTGAACCCTGGTTCTGCAGTTTTCTAGCTGTGTGACCTTAGGTAAGTCATTTAACCTCTCTGGTTTATCCTCTGCAAAATGGAAATGACAGCAGGTCATACGGTTAGTTGTGAGGATTAACCAACTTAATTATAGACAGCGTATTGAACATCAGTACCTTGGCACAGAATGTGAGCTAAATAAGTTCATCTATTATTAAAATCATTATCAATGTCTGAACTAAGTTTGAAACACTATAGGAATTTGGTTCATACAACTAGGAAAACAAAATTTCTCTTTCACTTTCTCCTATTACCCATGTAGATGTAACAATATTTTCTTTGTTTCCTGGCAATGGCTCTGTTCTAGCATTTCAACATAATCTAGGAAGTAAGATCTAGTCATTGGAGAGCCCTAGATACATTCCAAATCCATTAATTGTGTTTAGAGGCCTGAATCCTCTAAACTCATCCTGTAAGTTCAGGCCACAAAGAATTGTCTTCACTAGTCACATCAAGAAATTGACCAAAGCAGTCTTTCTGATCTGGACTTCAAGCTATGTGCCTTCCCAACGATTATGAATACACAAACATTTTCAAAAGTATATTTTAGTATCTAGTATATATATAGTACATATATTTTAAATAGATTTAGTATACAGTCTA